TTCCCTCATGAGAGCAAATCCAACATGATGCTCAGCTGACTTGGCTCAAGACGATGGCATGGCTCTGAGCTAAGGATGTGCCAAGGAGTCAGAAAGTCAGAGAATCCACAATGGATGTTTGTTAACTTGACAGAGCTACGGCCCAACCGAAAGTTGTTAAAAACAGCACAAGATTCCCTCGTATGAAGCATGATAAGAAGTACAGGATGACGTGTTGGTGTGCTGTCGCTGCCCTCTTGCAGGTGCTCCAGAAAATACAGATGTTTGCCTCACATCTGTTGTAATTGTGTTTAATTCTGACTACGCTTGTTGAGTCTGCTGCAGTCTGCTCTGTAGCTGACTGTTGCACATTCATGCTGTACACAGAAGGGATCCTAAGATTCTCAGCTGATGAGCAAAGTTTGCATCATTGCGGCATAGAGCTCCGTTATTGAGAGACAAAAATGTTAATCCTCATCTCTTCATTATTGATGAGTCATACATTCTACAATTTCAAATTACACATTTAAAAAATAGTAATTGATTCTTTTTGTGTGTGTGTCTTAATGCAGACAAGAAGCAGTATGACGACATGTCTGGCCGTGTCTAGTAGTTGCAGAATTGTCTAAATAACCGTCTGAACTGCAGACTGTTCCCAGAGCAGCTGCTGAGGTTGGTTAAGCCAGGCGTGAGAGCAGCGCATGAGTGGTGCACAAATGCCTTGGAGGTCTGCTGCAAACATAAATAGCCAAAACAACTTCCCTTTTGGTCGATTGCACACGATAATACGCGACATCTTGAATCGGACATGAATGTTTTGCAGGGGGATTCGGTTCCGTTCTGAGAGCAACCCGCTGATCAAGAGGCTTCCATTGAAACAGATCTTTTGGCAGATTGTTGGGTTTCTTAGATGGTGTGAGCAGTTCTTTAGCACGATCGCATCTGTGCTCGATTATTGTTTGTTTCTGCGGGGTTGATTTTTATTGTGCCAGCTACAGAGTGCAGCGCTGTCTCATGTTGTCCGGTTTTGGATGTTCAAGCTTCTCAGCTGAACATAAACGCATCGAGCAGCTTTAACACAGTTCTTGGCCCTGGGGGTTTCACCTCGTCCCTTGAATCTGCACTCAACTGTGATGCTGCAAATTCGGGGCTGGAGTGGATGATTTCAAAGCATTTAATCATTTGAGTTTCCGAAATGTACAGTTTATGAAAACAAGGCGTGTTTGTGACTGTCGATTTGTGCAATTTATCGAGCATGGCCTGCAAGAACTGTCTTGAATTTTAAAAACTGGTCATGCTCTTTTGAAGAGGGATGAGATAAGACTTCCTCTGTGCTCCATTCTGCTGATACACCATCTCTAGACTCTTGCATGCTGTCAGGATTAGTTGCAAGTCCCAGTGACAACACACACACACACATGGTCACACACCAGCCATCTGGCTGTAATTGCACAAAGCGGAAGTGCACATGTTAGAATATATCATTGTGAGATTTGTTTGTGTCTCTGTGTGTTTTTCTGAGGATACACACAATAGGCTCTATTTGTGTGAAAATGCCTGCGGCTGCAAACTTTGGCCTCGGAGCAAATCCACAGTCTGCATTTAGAGCCTCAGTCTGCAGCCTTCTTTTCCTTCATTCCTAGAAGCAACCGTGTCAACCGTGTGTCTGATTTACAACTATGTAAACGAAGAAGATCTTTGTGTCAGAAACAATGGCATTACAAGTCAGGCAATCGTAATTTAATCTCTTTTCTCGTAGCTTTCAGTTGTTCCTGATCGCTGTAGGTTTCATGTTGCCGGTGAAGCTGCAGAGTTGGGATGGCTCTGAGGCCTCTTGCTGGTTGGTGGTTTAGTCTGGGCGTTTGGAGTCTATATTCTGGGGCCTGCACAGTCAGACTATAATTTACCCTTTACATTCACTGTTTATATTGCAATGAGGCTTTCTAGAAAAGCATAGCGTCTTGGGTCTCACGGCCCAGATCTCTGTGTGGGGTTGTCCAGTCATCACTACTCCTGTACTCCTGATCACCATTTGTAATTTAACAGCAGAACTTTCCAGTCTTCTGCTCTATTTAAAAAGATAAGGTGAAAATATTCTATGGTTGTCTTGTTGCTTTTCCCACCAATGGGCTAATTTACGAGGGGTGTGAGCGTGTAACCACAGCCTGATATATCTCCCTCTCTTGTATCAAAGAACTCCATTCTTGTCAGAACTCTATATATATAAAAAAAAAAACACCTCAGTGAGCCACAGCTGTTGCGCTGGGCACCCTGGTTGCTAAAAGAACTTATTCACATGAGTCACATTTTAATCTTCTGTGATTCAGAATCAATTCACTAATGCTGGAAATCCGTTTTTATAATGGCTTTGGTGAGTAACATTATGTGGGTGGAACAAAAACAAGACAAAGCCCTGTTTGAGGGAGCAGAGCAGCGTCTGGACAGTGTACAGATTACAAATACTAGAATTATGGAGTTCATCCTTGAGGAAAGCCAAGTGTTTAGCTGCACTTCAGTGTTACAAAACTTTACTCAACACCGATAGCAGGAAGAAAATAACTGTCTTTAACTTGTTACATCATAAAAGATCCGTGCTTGGATGACAATGACTTTCCACAGATCTAACCCTGCATTACAGAGGCTGCCCTCCGCTGCTTTATTTCACGCCTGAAAACAGTCCACAACAAAATGCGTCATCTAGTCATGTTTGATTAACGTTTGCTATGATCTGCAGTACCTCTTTAAGTTAAAATCTAGAAATGAGGCCAAACAGTTGTTGCACAGTTCTAAAGATCGGCAGTTAAAACAAATGGTGGCTCAGGTCAG